GATAAAAGAATGGATTAAAGAAAATATTAAATGCAATATTCAAAATCATGAGTTTTATGAATATCTTTATAATGAGAAATTTATTAATTCTGAAGTAAATATAAGAGAGCAGGTATACTATTAGGTATCCATTTTCAATAAGAAGACGTATATAATAGATGCTAAAAATTAGCTTATATTGGCAAAGTCTTATATTGAATAATCTGAATTTGTGATAAAAGATTTTAAAATTATTTACTATATTGAAAATAATTTTGTGAAGACTCTTGAATTTGTGATATCATTACTCAATCATATTGATATTGAAAATATAAATAAAATTATTGTAAATTTTACATTTAAAACTAATTAAGAGTGCTTCAAGCTCTTTATCATAAATACTAATTATGGTGAATATGGTATATCTTTAACATACTTATATCTTTTAATATTTGATAGTACTAAATAAGTACATCACAATTTTGAGAATTAAATCAATATGAGAGTACAAGTTCTTTGTAGATTTTTCATCAGTTTTCAAAAAATAGGCCTATTGCCAGTATTTTGTCTAGTTGACAAAAATGCTGGAGAGATCTTAGTTATAAGTGAGATATGATCAGATATTACTAATCTTTAGCTATATTATTGACATCTCAAGCATGCTATTAGCAGATGATTAAAGAACAAAAAATCAAAAACAAGTATATATATTGTAGTAAAAGTTTCAGAGATTCACAAATAATTTGATTTTATTAATCCTTTCTAGATATCAAATTAAAATATTGAAAACCTATATTCAGAAGATTCTATCAAAGAACTCTTAAACATAGTAAAAAGATACGTAAATATGCATCTACTCATGTCAATAGCCAAGAATATTTTCTGAAGCTCTACTAAAATCTATCAAAGCTGTGTAAAGGAAATTTATCAGTTTTACTATAGCTATAATCTTGCTAAATTATAAGGGTACCTATGAATAAACTGGTATAATAAAAAGACTAGAAGCTTTTTTCTCAGTTAGCATATCCAGTTATCATATTATTAATGTGAATTATCATGATTATAGAAAATTATTAGTGAGTTCTTAAATATAACTATAAATATAATTATAATTAACCATATCTAGACTATCTTACTCAGATCCTTATGGAATAATTGATATCTGATTTTGATCTCAAAATAAATTAATTTAAAGAAAATTGGATATTTTCATCATGGTAGAATGATTTTAAAATTAATTAGAGAAAAGCAGTAATCATGAAAATCCAGCCTGACATAGATGAAACCTATCATGTTAACGTAAATAACTGGATATATTCTTGTTCAGTATATCTTCACAGTTATTATCCTATCTGCAAGCATCTTGTTACAAAGAAAAATGATATCCATTTCTGATCTACCTTCTCAGAAACAACATATCAACATAATTATTCTTTACTTACTTTTGAAAAAAGATAAAATATTAGTGATCAATTCAGTAAATAATTTCTGATTTCAATATAGAACAAATAATCTTGATAAAGAAAGTGATAACTTACAAGATATATTAATAATCAATCTTATTAAAAAAGAGAGCTTGAGTATTATTAACTTATCAATAACTGTAAGATATAATATAATTAATAAAAGATGAGAAAAGATTGTTTCTTATAAAAAACTATGAAAATTGTATTTATCTTATATGAATGAGAAATAGATAATAATTACTTTGTAGATATCTTTGATAGCTTGTTGAAGTCAGTAGTAAAAGTGATTAATAAGTATCAGGAGGTATTACAAGCCTATAATTAACAAGAAACTGAAAAATCAAAAGAAAAAAAACTTGTATTTTGGTTATGTTAATTCTAGAAAAAAAAGAAAATTAAAATCATTTAACATGTTATAGTATTGTAGTAAAGCTAATAATAAAGCTATTATTTTCTTGACTTGGCTAATTAAAGATCTGCAAAGTGTGTCATTACTCCGGCATCAGTCGTAATAACGTGATACAGCCGAGTGCTGGATATTGGTCGGAAAATCACGTGACCGACACTTTTTTTTGCCGTGGCTAGGATACTAGTGGACCAACATTCGAGGCAATAAAACTTATCATATTGATTGTGATAATTCAAAAGATTCGAAAGTTCCACTTGAAGCGTATTCAGAAAATTTTGCATCACCTTTTCCTTGGAACTATGCTCTTAAATTTCCTGATAAAAGCATAGCAATGGAGGCATGATTGTTACGTATTTGGATAATGAAACTGGTATTCATTATCATAGAACTGTAGTCAATGAATTTGGATAAGATTATTATCAATAAAAATAAAGATTTAGCTTTTTTATATCCATCAGTGAAGATAACTGCGATATGTACTGTATTTCAAATGTTGCCTTATGAACGATTTTAATTCATAAAACAGGGAGGTTCAAAATTCTTTTGTATCGATTCTTAATAATATTCTCGTGGGGCTTAACAACATCACCCAAAAGCTCTCATTGAATAGACGTCTACGAAATTTATGGTAAAGTTGTTGATTTAGAAGAGGATTTGGAATTAAAGCAATCTTCATGAAAAACCTAACGAAATAGCACCATTTATCTTTGCAGTGTTACCAATCATCAATTATGAAGGATTTTATTTTTTTTTCATTCTGGATTTGTACGATAAAACAAAAATTTTGCCCACACCCATATCAATTACAAACGATTTAGTATTGTATCATGCAAATTCCATAAATCTATGTTAAAATTATTGGGTACCCCATTAGGAACGCCACCAATAACACCATTAAAAAGTGAGATTGTAGGGATGGCAATTTGATAGTCCGGAAGATTGGCACCATTACAGGGACCTGATCCAAACCCAACGCCAGTAATTCCATCAGCCGGAAAACCTGCAATATTACGAAGATAGTTTTGCACGGAAACATGAAGAGGTGCTGTCCCAAAAGACTTTGCGATAGTGGGTACAATTGGATTTTGATTGTTACGTAAGTAAAGTAATGCGAGCAATGCAACGGTACCATCCTGACGAGGAGGAAATAACTTAATGGCCAAATAGATTTGAATAGTAGTTCGTGGAGAAAAGTATCCTGCTATTAGTTCATGCAAACTGCGGACACTCTCTGTATTTCCAATTTCCACAACCATGGTTGGGTAAGGGTTTCCTGATGAGTTGATTGCCTGTCTGAATGGAGGTCGTTGACGCCGGTTTGGTCGGATACTAAGATCGGGGCGATAAACACTTCTTGGGCCAACAATGATGTCCACCTCTCCTATTACGGATAATAATCGGCGGTTCCAGTTACCCATCACAACACTCAATTCTCCTTGCACCATTGCGTGGGGATCGAGAGGTACTTCATAGGCTATCAACTAGACGATATTTAACAGAAATTCTTGGTTCTTCATTACAAAACTCACTATAGGTTTTGACTGATACGTTGTTGGCAACAACGATTCCCTTTCGGTTCACTTCTTTACTTCCCTCCTGTCGTTGGATAGCAAGTAAGGAACTCCTTGCTAAATCAAATTTCCATTCGTTCCATGAAGGAGACGGTTTTTTGTTCTTGCTTGTCATTGACAGATATGGCGAGAAGGATAGATGGCTAATTGATATCATGAAGAATGATGTGATTTAATTTGCCTTATTATTAAAAAAAATCCGGTCAGTTGATAAATTAGTCCATGATATTATGACATCATAATCATGTGCAATAACATTACTCTCATATACTGTATCTCGATAAGAACAATCGCAGAGTTCCCCTCTTGAGCTGATTACGCATTAGTTGCTTCTCGAAGCCTTCCAGATTTCTATGAAGTTATAGAAGAGGTACCTCTGATTTTTTATATCTGTATCGTAAAATCTGGCACAACTCGAAAGTGCATATCAAACAAATAAAAAGAAACAGACAAGCGACCAGGCATTTGGTAATGACTATTTCGACTACCTTTATGGTATCATGTGTGAAGAATTTTTCTTGGCAAGTGATCGGCAAAAACCGTTTCCCAAGGAAACGATCGAATATCAGTTATATGTTAACGTTTTCTCTGCTGTTTAATTTTTGAGGAAATCGATGACGACGACAAAGCACTCGAACAGTGCATGAATGAAATAACACTAAGACTTTCGAATCTGGAGACAATGCAGACTAACGCTAATGAAGCCACGCGTTGTGTATTTATTACGTCGATATTAAACGCATCACTGGCAATCGTCCGGAGGCTTACCAATGAAGAGAAAATCTATATATCATACCAAAAAATGTTTCTGGTGAGGAAGCATCTAGGCGTGTCGATTACACAATAAAAGGAAACGAGGATCTTATGTGCATAGCTGAGACAAGCCCCCGTAATGTCGAAATTGGTTATCTCCAAAATATTATGCAACTAGAGAGTGCGAACCATACCAATAAGAAAAAACGTACAGCAGATGAAGCTTTCCAAGATGATTATGATTATCTTTACGGAATAGTCTCTACTGGTAAATTTTTCTTAACAAAGTGATTATGGTTATGTACTATAGCTTAATATTTTTAGCCACGGAATGGCACTTCATCATGTTTGCCACCGATGGCCTTTATTGCACCAGTAAGAGCGAATATCAAATTAACCTTTCTAAAATGGTCCTCAAGGAAGATCTTGATTCTATTCAAAAAGGCGTAAAGCGAGTATTGGGGTGTTATTGTTGGGTTGTTAAAGGATCGGGTAACAGTTGATAGCTCCCCAGCCAGTAAAAGGACCAGGATCGAAAAATTTACTAAAGAATAGTGGTAGATAATTTTCCGCCTCACATGTATTTTTATATTGTATCAATAAAGCTAAACCTTATGAGTTTCTAGACTTTAGAATCCAAGTAACCCGAACTAAAATAAGGCTCTTTTTCCAGACGTGTAAATCCGTACTTATTTAAGTTATAAGGGCGTTTTGCCTGTATCAACTCGCGAAAATGTCATGGTTATATCAATTAAGTAAGCAGCTCTCAGGATTCCAAAGTATTTAACGAGTAGCAAAAGCATGCTCACAACTTTGATCCTCTTACAACAATGATCTTCGGCTTCTTCGATTTTCCCCAATAGATGGTGCTGGCGTATTATTTCCCCCAATTCCACGTCGTCTACGATTAGAACTATTAATATTACGGATTCTATCGAAATCATCTTCAGGCCTCCCCCAAAAATGTGTACGGAATTCGTTAAAATATTGCGTACCCATCCGGCTTCTTCGTGTTTTTCTATTCCCTGCCATATACTCACACATCGACTAATCATAGATTTCGGCGTTTACTAGCATGAATTGAGTTACGTAAAAATTTTCCCGATCAGAGTGAATATTAACTTACATTGTAATCCCGAACAAGATTCATAAATTTTTCTTTACATTGGTACCCATTAAAGCTCGTATTGTGATCTCGATTAATTTTGGTTGCAACGCTAGCCCAAAATTCGGTTTGATTCCTTCCGAGATTATGATATTCCTCATTTCTATTTCTACGTTCATCAATGAGTATACGGATTTGAGCATCTGTCCATTCGACCATTTTTAACGATATTTGAAAATTAGATAAAGGTTTTGCTTTTATATTAAATATTGTGTATCACCGGACCTCAACCGTACTTCAACCATCATTATCATACGATATATTGTATAATTAATTATTTTACCAACCGCATTTCAACCGTCAACCATACTTTAACCCAAAATTCCGATTTATTATCTATGGACGATCTTAGCAAAGCTTCATGATTGGTGCATTTAATCATTTTTTTAGCATTGCGACCAATCAAAACGATAAACACATAAATACGTATAGCGAGGGACAGCATAAGATATCCTACTTTAGCGGCCAAATTTGAACGCTAAAATGATATAAAGTAAATCGGGTCTAGAACGGAATTTTTATATTAAAAACTTCATTTTAATTGGTCAAAATGATTCTTAAGAACCTGGACCACATGGCAAAATTTTCCATCCGCAGTGTCTAATATACACATGACTTGGAAAAGACTCCCGTTTAATTAATTTAAATAAAATAATAAATAATATTATTTAATATGATTTAAATTTGATAAATGAATTGACTGCTTATTACAAATATAGATTAAAAAGATTAATTAAAGTCTTAAATTAGTTTATTTTTAATTAAAAAAAAAATAAAATCGAAATTATTTTAATTAAAATTTAACTAAAATCAATTACACTATTAAAATTTTGCGATGCAAAAAAAATTTATTTATTAATATGGAATTGTACAAAACAATTCCTAATGTTATTGCAGCAAAGAGGAATATTATATGCTACACATCATAATTGATTTCTATGTGATATTTTATGATCTATATTTATTTCTTTTTTATTCGTCAACCATATGTATTATCTACATACTTCACGTTCTTCTCTTCACTTCACAAGATGATTTCCAGGAACTAATTGTTGATCTGAGAGTACAAAATTTTTTGTTATTTTTGGCTATTTCATGTTTTTCTCTAAACTACTTAGTTGAATTTCATCAGTATCATTTGCAAAATGAATTAAATTTCAAACAAGCTCATTGCAAAATTCTTTTTATTCTTGTGTTAATCCTATGGTCTGGATGATTTAATATGCATTAATAATTATAGTATCAAGTAACTAAAAAAAAATAGATATTCAATTTCACTGTGCTACTTTTTGTATGCTATAATATGAGTATATCTGATTCATGATATCTATATCATTTATATTGTACTTATAATTATCTATTATTTTCAGAATTTTTAATTTTTTTTTAAATTCAGAACCAAACACTGCATGCATCTTTATTGCATTTGTATTAGTTCTTGATTATTTTCTTTTTTGCTCTGTTTCTTATTTCTTATCAATAATCTCATGAATTATCAATAATATCATAACTGATCTATTATCCTGCCAAAAAAAAGCTAATATGCTATCTATCATAATTCCAGAATAAATATTCTAATTAAGTTTAATTTCTTTAATTTTCTTGAAAAATCTAATATAGTTTTTCATATAGTTTTATATATATTAATTCTATTTTATTAAAGATACTGATAAAAAGAAATACTCAAGAAATAATTATTTATATATATATATTATATGAGAATTATTGATATGAAAACTATTTAACAAAATGATAAATGACATATCTGATTTGATTAAATCTACTTACTTTTGTTATATCACTTGAAATAATAATATGAAATATTAACAAAAAAGTAAAAGTATATCCAGAATTACAAAGAAATAAAATTTTAAATTCTTTAAATATAGACTTGTTTTTAATACAAATAGTATAAATATTTTTTTTAGAAAATCAAATCATTATTTTATTTATAGAAATATTTATATTTGATATGTAAAATTATTTTAAAATATTTTGAATATGTAAAAGTAATAACTTTAATTTATTAAAATAATTTTTTATAAATATGATGAGAGATGAAATATATAGATATCTCTTTATTTGCTTGAAATACTTTAATAATATTTATTTTGAGATAAGATAAATAAAAAATCTTCTATTTTCATTCTAATACTAATCAAAAAATAGTAATTTAAAAAGTTCTTAATAAATAATCAAGATAATTCAAATAAGAAATTTCTTATAAGTAAATCTAGTCAATACCTATTAGTAATATCAACAGCTTTTAATAATATATAAAAATTTGTATTTTTAATAATAGTTCTAATATATTTATTATAAAAAAAATCTATTAACTTAAAAATATTAATATCAAGATATGTTAATAACTAAATAAATATTTTTTGAGATTATCTTATAAGAATAAATAATTCAAAATCAAAAAATAATAGTAATAATTTTCATTATATAACTCTTATTAGTTTATATTTTTTTATAAGTATTTTCTATATTCAATTCATTCTTATTTTTCTTTTTATTTTCTAAATCTAAATTATTTAAGAGATACTAACAAGATATCAAAAGTAGAATATACTCTTTCTCATTAAAACTTATTTCTAATTCACAAGACAAAGTACTTATTAAACTTAAAATTATATTTAATATAAAAAATATATAGATTTTTTTAATTGATTTTTTATTATTTTTCTTTTTTTTAATTTCTTATTATAATTATTAAATTATATAAAAGATATAATATAGAGTTAATAAATAATTATATATTTATTTTAGCTTAAAAATAATAAAATAACTTAAGAAATTTTGACAAAATTATGAAAAAATAGTATAAAAAAAATTTTAGTATTCAAATTTAAATACTGGATAATTTATAAAATAAATAAAAATTATGATCTTATTCTTAAATATATTTTTATAAAGTAATTATAAATTAAATAAAGATTTATTATAATTTGAAAATAAAAAAAAATAAGTTAAAATTTTTATCACTTATTTAGAAAAATATTATAAAGTTAAAGAAAAAAATAACTTATTTAATATTGATAAAGAAATAAAAATCAAGATTTTTAATAATAATAATAAAAAAAAAATATTAAAATATACTTATGAAATAAATATTAGCTTTAATATTCAGAATTAGAAGATCTTATTATTTTATTATTTAAAATTATAATAATAGATTCTTATCTTATAATTAAAAATATTAGAAGAAGTATTTTATTAACTTACTTTTAGATTTTTATTAGCTTATAAATAAAAGCTAATATTATTGATATTAGATATTGAGAATATTAAAATAGTAATTTATAATAATTTTAATTAATTATATAAAATATAATCAAATGAGAAAATAATACAAGTAATATTCTTATTTTTAATAAAAATTATAAAAATCTAATTAGTTTCAACTTGTGAAAAACTTGATAATTCAAATAAAGATCAATAATATTTTGATTCAATTAGTAAAATAGGATTATTCAAAAAAAAATCTTTAATAAAAGAAGAAAATAAGAATAAATATAAAAAAAATAATAGTATTAATTAATTATTTAAGAAAATATAAATAAATAAAAATATTAAATATATAAATAAAGAATTATTATACTTAACTTGATAAAAAAAAATTCTTTTATTAAATATTTAAAGAATTAAAAAAGAATAAGCTTATCAATTTAGATAAATATCTACATATTAATAATTATTTAGTAATTAATTATTATAAATATAATGAAAATAATTAGTTTTATAAATAGATAAAAATAATATCAGATTATTTTATCAAGCAAATAAAAAAAGAAATTTAAAGAGATTAATTTAATATCAGAGCAAAGATAATAATTAAAAGAACTATTAGAAGAATATTTAATAAAAAATTAAAAAAATTACAATTATTTAATATAAAATAAATATAAAAATTGAAGAGTTAATAGCTTTAAAGTTATATTAAAATACTTATCTATTAAAAAAGAATTTATAGAAGAAGAAATTGAAAAAATATTATATTTTATTATTAGATAATTCTTAATTAATATTTGTAATAATAGTTAAAAAAAATAATAAATATAAATACTATATAACCTATTATTAATTAAATAAAATTATAAAAAGAGATCAATTTTTCTTATCTAAAATTAATAATTTACTTAATATAATGCATTACAAAAAAAATTATAATTACTATTTTACTTATATTTAATGAATATTTATTTAATTTATATAAAATTTTAAATATATATACTTGAAAAAGTTTACTTAAAAGTATTTAATAGCTTATCTTAATAAAATATTTCATAATTAATATTTTTTTATTAAATTTTTTTTGAAAAAATTATTATAAAAAATTTAAAATACTTTTTTAATCTTTTTTATTTGTTATTTAATAAATATTTATTTAAATTATATAAAATTTTAAATATATATAATTGATAATATAGTAAATAAGTTCTATTTGCAAAATAATAATCAAATTTATTTATAATAATTTATTTAAGTTTTCTTATTATTAAAATATTTTTATTTTAAAATTTAAATTTTAATAAAATAAGTATTCAAGTAGTCTTAAATAAAGTTATTTATCAAACTCTCAAGTATATATATTTAAATTTTTATATTATTTAAATAAATATTTATAAAGAAAATTAAAAATTCCAGTTTTTTTTGACATACTATATATTAAATAATAAAAATAAAATCTATTTAATTAAAATATATTAAATAAAAATACTATTTTTATTGAAAAAATATTAAAAAATAAATTTTAAATATTTATATTTAAATATATATTTTTAAATAATAATAAAATTATATATAAAAATATAATAAAAATAATTTAAACTGAATTATTTATAGTTTTTTTATATACATCATCTCTTTATATAAGTATCTTCTCTATAGTTGAGATATTTTAGTATTATTACTTTACTAGAAGAGATTCTCTATTTCTTTTTAAAATAATTAACTATCTTATCAAGCAGTTAATTATTATTTACTGATTCTCTGAAATTCAGTTTATTTTTATATGTTTTCATATTATATTTATATGACTTGATCAAATTAAATTGATCTTATTATTAATATTATTATTATTATTATTATTATTATTATTATTATTATTATTATTATCATCATTATTATTATCATTACTATTATTATTATTATTA